TCGTTTAGTAGTTTCATAAGTCTGAAGTTATAATAAAACGCCACTAAAACTCCAAACCCCCATTAAAAAGCAGAGCAGAAAAAGGAATAAGATTCAAAGATTAATATTCATAAGTAATAGCGTAATAAACATTCTTATATCCGAGGATTGTCGTAAAAAACGTTAGAATCGAATTGCGAGCGTTCGTGTGTAAGTTGTGGGTTGGCGGGCTGTGGGCCGGCGAGTTGTAGGTTGGCGGGTTGGTGGTCGGGTCGCTACGGGTGGCCGCGGGTCGCCCTCGCCAGGAAATTGGACGCCAACGCGAACTATCGCGGATTTCATCGAGATGTATCGAATAAAAACAAAATGAATGGCCCCCGGCGGAGCAGTGTTGATAAATGGGAGTTTAAATTGTAGGTATTTTAATGCTCGACCCTGTAAATACAGTTTGGAGTAGGGATTTTATACGAAATTGTGAGATTGATTAATCACTTTTGGCTAGGAGGCTTTTTGTTTGTCAGTAAGTGCTAGTTACTTGTTATCTACTGGGAAAATAATAGGTACTTATAATATGTTGGCCCATTTTAAATTGCTCTTCGGGGCTTTGTAGCTGATCTCATGACACTCTACCTCTATTTCCCTATTCTACAGATTATTTGAGTCTACCAGATAATTGTGTCTCTGAATTACCCCATAACTAACAGTACAGAGTCGACACTAAAGAACCGACTATATACTATCTATTCGAAAATCAAAATCTAATACTTCCGAACCGAGGTTTATCAAAGAATATTGCAAACATCAACTACAATGCCAACGACACCATTTTAAATCTTATCCGAATAAATCAAAACAAGAAACGCTATCCACTAGAAACCAGAATCTCGAAAAATCCCCAAAACTTAAATTATCGATTGTAAGTACTGAGATTCGTAAAGACGACATCGTCGGCTGGCTGTCAAAGGGCTCCGTGAAGCGTGCGGTGTAGATAAACGCAGCTTTGAACTCCTTTCACTTCCAACCATCTGCCGCATAATGAGACTGTCTGATTGTCTAGCCCCTGGTATTTCTATAATTATATATTTTACTCGTAGGCACTTTGATGCTTTAAGTACTAAGGATTTCGTTTAATTGGAGTCTCAACACCTGACATGGCCTTTTAAAATTTAAGAAATACCTACCTAAAATGGCGCTCCCATTTAATTCAATAATAATATGAAAAAAAAAACTGGAGAGTACCAACCTAGGTTTAAATTAGATCTTTAGCAGTGTTTTTATGATCATTGGATTAATTAGACCGTATAGATTTACAAAAAAAAACTTGTAAACAGATAATTTTAAAGTTACGTAAGTAATAAGCATCTTTTTACACCTTTGTCTATAGATAGAAAAAAAATACTAATAATTATCACGTTTTAATTCTTTGCAGGGTTGTTGGTTCATCAGGATCATTAGGTACTGTTTGAGTTACATAACATACAGAGCTACTTACTCATGCAAAAAAATATGTAAACAAAGCCACCGACTTGAAATTCAAGGGTGTCATTAATCCATGTCAATGAAACTCCGAATTTGTAATTAAGTCCGTTATAAAATGGAAAAAAAATAAAGCGTTTGACAGGGAAGCGACCTAAATATCGAAGGTCGGGCCATGAGACCAACGGAGCGTAACGATGTAAACAAAAGTTGGTAGGTAGATACCTATCGATGTTTTTTAAACCATTATCTACGTATTCCGTTTGCGGAGTTCCTGGACAGGGATTTGCTATTCCATGGGGACTCAGGCTAGAGCAATCATATTCTCAGTCTGTTGCAACTCAAGTTGAGATCAATGAATACAGCAATATGGTAGGAAATTGTAGGAGAGCCATGCTTCGGCACGAATTAGACGGATTGACCTGAGTGACCACAGCCTCAGAGAAAACTGGTGTGAAACAAACTAAGTAGTTGTTTGGCCCTGTGAGTACCTGAGACCTAATACTTCCTCTCCCCCCGTCTCTTCCCAGTCCTGAAATTCGCAAAACGCCTATCCCCAATAGACCGGCAACGCACACGAACGCGGGTGTTCAAGGGCAGCTTTGATTGCTTACCATCAGGTAGTCCATAAGCTCGTTTCTCGCTGTACTATCACATAAAAATAACTATGGAGATAAGTATACCTATGTATTTATAAATAGCTACGACAAATCCATAAACTGGAGTTACCTACCTACTTAGTTTCCCAACTGAAATACTACTAGGTACCGGTAGATACCTATAAACAAATGTGGGAGAGCCAAGGCGAGGTGAAACAACAACAGCTTTGTGTATCGCCGTGTGAGTGAGGTCACCGGAGGCTGTCCCTTCCCCAATCCCTACTTAAATCTCCAAATAGGTACCTAGTCCTCAAAAGGTCGGCAACGCACTCGTAACTCCTCCGTTGTTGCGGTCGTTGCTTACTATCAGGCAATCCATAAGCTCGCCGCCCTATTACATACATAAAAAACTAGTCAAGACCATTGAACTCAGTAGGTATTATTTATTTAAGTAGGATGATTCATCTCAAATAAACCGCTGAAACAGGACCTCCACCCCATCTAATGTTATTTTGATTTGCTCTGATGAATACGCGCAAAATATACATCTTTTTCGTTAAACTAAGTCCAATAATAAATCACAAAGAAACGCCTACTTAGAGAAGAAATATCGTTCGTCGTTTGTTTGAAATAATTCGCATTTAGGAGAACGATCATGTTGTTAGTGGAAGTCACTAGAAATACCTAGGCATCCATTACTATAGGTAGCTACTTTGCCATTTTTGTTGAGGGGAAAATCATCAAATGACTTCTCCCGTCCATTAAGTGTGTGAGAGCCATGCTTCGGCACGAATGGGTCGGCTCGACCGGAGTGATACCACGGCCTCACAGAAGACCGGCGTGAAACAACCACAGCGTTGTGTTTCGCCGTGTGAGTGAGGTTACCGGAGGCCCAATCCTTCCCCGCCCCCAATCCCTAAATCTCTAAATCCCTAATCCCTAAAAGGTCGACAACGCACTCGTAACTCCTCCGTTGCGAGTGTCCATGGGCGGCGCTGATTGCTTACCATCAGGTAATCCGTCTGCTCGTTTGCCGACCAATTACATAAAAAAAAAAGTGTGAGACCCGTTCCTTTTTCTGCTCTTCCTCCTTCTTGGCCGAGGCCGCGGTAACTTATTGCGCTTACCCTGGCTACGTTTCCTACGTAAAGGTAAGGTGGGAACCTTACCTTTACGTACGTAGCCTTGTGTGGGCTTATTGGCTAAAACTCAACCCGCTCCTTCTCCGTCCATCCCGCTCTGGGCCAAAGCCAAGGACATTATTACGTTTTCATCCAGTTGTTGGTGGACCCAGTGAGTGGTAGACCAATCCAGCTGAATTTAACTAGTACCTATAAAGATATTAGACTTCAAACTTCACATATGCAACAATGCAATATTAGGTGGTATTTTGATTGAATTTCGACTTTCTACACAGCTGACTAATATGATTTTAGAAATAAAGTGTGGGAAAGCCAAGCTTTGGCACGAATGGGTTGGATCGTCCGGTGACTGATACCACGGCCTCACAGAAAACCGGCGAGAAACAACCACAGAGTTATTACACCGTATGAGTGAGGTTATAGGAGACCCAATCCTTCCCCTTCTCAATCCTTTAATATCCTTCGAAAACTCGTATCTCAAAAATACCAGTAACGCTCTGGTAACTCCTATGGAGTTCCGGGTGCCGATTCCCATCTAATAATCCGTTTGCTCGTTTACCGACATATCCAACAAAAAAAGTAATTCTACATATTACTACTTATATCGTGGCACGGTGTTTAAAGTTTCACACTTATTTAAATCTAAATTAAAGAAAAATCATGGGCTCTTCTATTTATTTTCTCCTGTGTTGTAGGTAAGTGCATTCAGAAACATACAATTTCAACATACACATCCCACCCAGTCTCCGAACAACAATTTGTAGATCACCCAAAGAGTTGTTCCGTGCGGGAATCGAATCCTAGACATAGGTATTTCGCACCGGGTTGCCCGGCCACAACGTCAACCATGTAGTCTTATTCAAAGCAATTATTACAGGAGGCTGTAACTGGTACTCTGAACTGAAACATTCAAATACTACATACATCACCACTTCACCAGCCTATACATACTTTTTTCTTATTATATGACTGTACATATAGCAATTGTACCTAAGCAAAAGCTGAATAGGAAAAAAATAACAAAATATTTGATACTACATTGGGCCAAACGCTTTTTTGTAATTAGGTACTTTTTTACAAATTAGGTACTATTAAGTACTTTTTTGTAGTACCGCATTGCTACAAAAAAGTACCTAATTTCATTCCAATCCCTTCAATGTGGGAGAGCCATGCTAAGCTTCTTCGGTGTGAATGGGTAGACTCGATCGGAATGATACCTTCGCATAAAACCGGCGTGAAACAGGCCAGCATTGTGTTGTTTAACTTACCAACCCACCTTGGGCAAGTGTGGCGATTAATGCTCAAACCTTCCTCATGTGAAAAGAAGCCTTTACTCAGCAGTAGCAGTAAGCTCATGATAATGATGATGAAACGGTACTTAAATTGAAGGCAATAATAGGCGATCTATTATGGCCTATTTCTAGTACTCACTGTTATTAAAATAGATTAAATAAACTACCTAATAATTAAACATGTGGTGAAGTAATAGAATTTCAGTCAGTGTTAATCTCCAATATCATTCCCCTTGTTTATAGATTAGATAATATTTAGAGGACCCTGCACCCCAATACATAAAAGCTACAATATGGCAACCACAACCAGGGTATTAAGAAGGTAAGATCGCACAGTCTTATGTCCCTTTATACTTCCCAATAATTTCACTGTAATTTTAAAAAAGGACAATTTTTAACAAGCAAAAATTACCTCTAACAGTAAGCAATCTATTAAGCAACTAACTATTCAGTAAATAACTAAACTCCGATAAATAAAACTACTTTAATAACATTAATATTGAACAAACTAATCAAGCTTTGTATACATCAGTGTGTTTATAGTTAATCTTCTTGTCTAAGCCCAGCAATTGCCTTATAATGAACTCTGGGAGACGCTTATGTTTCCAGCGAGTCGGAAGAGGAGTGTGGTTAGCTCTTTGGATCTTGTCCGCCACATACTGTTCAGCTTGGAACTCGTTTGCTTCCTTCACCATAGCTAATAAAGAGTTTTGGAATCTCTTCTCTTTGGCTTGACGACGGTGCTGCTTGACCTGTAATGTGATTTTAAGAAATGCATTAAAAAAGTGCCAATAAGTTGGTGTTTTATTTAGGTATGTGTTTGTTGACCATGGATGGATTGTCTAGTAACAATTTACAATATTTAGGATTATTAGGTTGATCAATCTATTTATCTTTCTACCAGAATAGAAAAGAAATTTTATTTGAAAACATTTAAATGTTTTTTAATAGTTTAAAATTGTTTATCAGTCTGAAATTCATGCAATGAATAATTACAGTTACTTCTTATAATGAAATGAGCTGGTTTTTATAAAATTTTAATCGTAATACCTAATATTGTTTGGTATTTTATAAAAATCTTGAGGTGTCATACACATTTTCTTTTACCTCTTGTCTGCAGCTGTATAAGACAAAATAGGAAAAACATTGTCTTGCTTGGATCTGCATGTTTGTTAAGTTTAGATATTGAGATCTTATACCCGTCTCAGTGTTCTAGTTCCACACAAGGTAGCTAATTACTTCCCACCCACATAATACTACTATATAATGTATTACACACTATTACATGTAACCTTAATAAATACCCCATTTGTTTGAGGTGATAGTAATATTATACCAATTAAAATAGGAAAAGAAAGGAGAATGCATGATGTTGCATCCTACAATTGCTTATTACTGATACTGCTTACGGAGACATAATTTGACATACTAACCCGAGCCCAAGTATACCGCATCTTCTTCCATAACTTCCTTCTCTGATGTTTTTTCATCTTCTTCCTCCTAATTACAATCAACCTCGCCGCTTGAATCTCGTCTTGTTGGATAGACGGCAGACCAATCTCATCCTTCCTCCACTCTTTGTCAAGCAGCGGGAGGATGGACCGAGGGTTAACTATAGGTATGTAAGGTATAGGGTCCTGTCTTATCCCGTTAGATCTTTGCCGATCGATTATTTCAACCCCAACACTCCTTGGTGCAAACGACAAAACATTTTGTTTACAAACCAAGTCATTCTTAACTTTAACAACATTAGGGACAATAGGCTTGCATTCAGAAATTGTTTTCAATGCCGTGTTGAGGTTTAAGAGACGGAATTCTGTAAGGAAATAAGTTAAATGATTAACAAATAGAATTAGAGTAAAGTATAACCTCAAAAACTTTTATACGTACGTTTTATGGTATTGTGAAGGGAGTTCATCTTTATCTCTTATTTCCCTTTTTTCTCGTAATTCACATAGTTTTTGAAGCAACAATTACGCTTTCAGTGTTCGTATTGTTATATTATGTAAAGAAGCTAAATAATATACAATTTTAGGTTATCTACAATTTGACATTCATAGACATTGACGCATGACAGTGACAGTCCCAGCAGTGTTGTCAAGTTATAAACCAAATTAAAAACAAGGCTTTTAGTATATATGGTTCAACAAAATAAAAAATATATATAACGGATATTCCCGCAATACTAAAACTGAATTGTGTATAAAAAATATTGTTTCTAAAAGACAAAATTGTGTACTACTGTTCAGAGTCCACAAACAAGCTCTCTGTTGTGTGGTACCCGACCGATATCACCAACAACAGCAATGGCCATATCTTGATCTGGGAATAAAGAATTATCAAAGTAGAAAAATGAATTTACTATCATCATTAATTCATCTGCTAAAAAGGAAACCGATACTTACATTTACAGGATAAACACCTCGCCGTATTTGCTATTTCGTATTTACTGATCTCGTCAATCATAGTCATGGAATTTTTTGCACTGTCTATTTGATAACCGCTGGCTACCTGAAGTGCTAGACCCTCGGCCATCCTCACACAGTCATCGTCATGTATTGCCAAGCTGACTTCTGAATAATTGCAAAAAAATAACAAACGAGATGTCAGTGACGTGAAAAGTTGAATATGAATAAAGAAATTAGTTTATTAAATACTTACTAAGTCTTTTTTTACCAATTTCTATTTGATCACAGCTGAGATCACCGACATTACTTAAAAATTCGGCTGCTGCTTTTGCCACGTCCCAAGCCGTATGTGCACGAGTCCTTGCTAAGATACCTAAAAAATACACGTTTTCTTTAGAAAGCATGACTAAAACAACATTATAACTACATTTTTTTCTAAGATCTCAAATTAATAAATACGCATTCGTGGAGCCTTACCAAAAATGCCAGTTTCGTAATAGGATAAGTTAAATGCTCTGTATGTTGTATGGACATCATCTCCTGACATAAGTCCGAGTGGATGTTCTGGTGTGCGGTCCAATACGTGTGTCCCATCCTGCATATTGCCTGTCCCGCAAGCGTGAGCTATTATCGCATGTTGCAACAGACATCTGATAAACATAAAATGAAATATATAAGTAGGTATCTCTATACTCAATAGCATCAAACTACATAGGTACCTACCTAAGAAGCTTTTGCTGCACTATCCTAATTTAAACGAAAAAGTAAACTAAAAATGAATAGTTCCACTTTACCTTAACCCTTTCAAAACGTTACCGCGTTTAGCCCTTGCATTGGTTGGTTTCAGTGATTACAGGCTCGCCAATCAGAGAGCCAAAATTCATAAATTAGTTTATCGCCTTATAAACAAAACTCGCACTTACGATAAATCTTGAGTCCCACACCCGGGTACCACTACACATATCCAGGTGTCACTATTAGGTCCCAGGTCGTAAAACTCAAAGCCCCGCCTCGGGAATGATGGGAGAACACATCTTGGTTGTGGTTTTTCCTAAAGTTTTTCCACAATAAGTAGGCGTACTTAACAATCTAATAGTTCAAATATGTTCAATTTCAATTCGTTTGCTACTGACTTAAAAAACGCATTAAAAAGAGGTAAAATTTGTAAGTTTGTATGTAGGGGTTAATTCATTTCCAAAACTTTTTGCACTTACATTTTTTTTCACTGATAGATAGCTACAATGTTCCTGAGTGCTAAAGGTTATAAAACATCACGCAACGATCTATAGGAGCCAAGTGTGAAAGAGTGAAACCGCGCGTTAACAGCTAGTTATTATTAAAATAAAGACTTGCCCGTCTGGGTTCGATCGCTTCCGCCATTTTTATGGTTTCTTCGAATGGTACACCGACACTAGCTACTGAACAATGGTCCGTCTTAAAGTTCCATTCAGTGTAATTGCTGAGAATCTCGCCTGTCATGCTGTCTATCCTTGATGACTCACAGTAAATAGAATTGTTAAGTGGCCCTCCCCAACAAGCCTTTTGGGCCAAATCTATTACACGTTTCTCTGGATGGATGCGGTGCAAATCGTCTCTGATCATAGGTTTTAAGTCTTCCATCTCCCATTCTTTGAACCAGCATCTGATTTAAGTTTCGGTGTCAATAAAAAAGGATAGAAAGAAATCTTGTAGTCTACTAAGCCTAAGTCTTGTGGTCTAAGAAGATATTCGGACTTTTCTCTTACCTAATAACAGTATCCAGCAGAAAACATTTCATTTCTGCGAAAGCACTAACTGGACAACGCAACGTGTATGCTATAGATTGTCTATCAGATGTACAGGTAATTGAAGAGCCGTGCTGAGACACGTAACGCATTTTCGTGAAGCCAGAGAAAGCGCAGCTGGAAGCACTAGATGCTGCACGCAGAAAATGGGTGGCTCCTAAGTATTCGTCCACTTCGTACCGGGAACCAGCCTACGTGGTAAGTATTGTGATCAGTACCTAAGTATTAACGGTCTATCTACGATATAATGGGTACCTGTGTTATATCCATGAAGCGCTGAGCATGTGTTGCATTACATTAATTTTATACTAAGAAGAAAATTAATATTTTCGCACCTGATACATTACGGTGCAAGCACCAATCTGTGCTCCAAGAGGTTTGGCTGCAGCCACTCTCATCCCATTGAGAAGAATTGAACGCTGCACTTCCATGGGACCATAATCGGGCTTCGGCCAATTTTTAATCTTATCACTGGTGGCAGTAGTATAGGGAACTGATAATATTCGTATATAATTCTTAGAAAGTTTATTCATGATCATCTCCTTAACTTGAGGCAAATTACATTTGTACATTTTAAATTATTTTTCGTTATTTATAGTGTCAATCTGATGTGATGAAGCTTAGAAAGAGTACTTATAGTGAAAGGGATATTGTAATCTTTGGTCCATTTCCAAAGAAGGTCAGTAATCTTTTTTACGTAGTACCTACCTACTTAATATTTTGTATTTTATGTATTTATGTACCTATCGATCATACTTAGTTTGATTTATTAAGTGCTGTTTTCTGGCGCTAACGTCATTACCTTGCATGCCTGGTCGTCGGATTCCTGACATAGTAATGGTGTACAGTTAGGTCTCCTTCTTTAAAGGGCAAATATCATCCCATATCTTCTCTCACCCCGGATGGGACGAGAAGACTGAATGTCTCTTTCTGACAAAACACCACCTCTTTCCTTTAAAGTATTAAATAATCTACTATCAACATACTTACCTCAATCTAACTAAATGAAGCGTACCTACCTACCTATATCGAGTACGTTTAGGTACTATAACAAACTATAAGAGAAGTATCTACATTTTCTTGGAATTTGTTGTAAAAAGTGATATATTGTGTGCTCTATCTAGGCTCTATAATAGAACTAGAATATTTTAATTAGCTCGATCAAAAGCAAACATAACATTGACGTAACATTAGATCAAAATCACACAATCCAGTATTATTTATCTAGCCTTCTATGACTCGCTAAAATGAAGGAAATTCACAATACTCACGCCCACTCGTTATCTTAAAACATGGTACTTGTATTATTTTAATTGAATCAATCTAAGTGATTGATCTTTCCGTTGGTACCTAAAATAATGGCAATATCAACTTATTTGTCCGTGTTTATCAAATGGCACGTAGCTACGTTTCAATTAAGCCTGATATTTATTAAGTTTATGATGTAGATTATTGCTACAAGGTCGAGGTGTCGGCTGTCAACAAGTTTGTGTCCAGGTTACAGGGTGTACTATAGCTTGTGAATTTATGGACTTGAAAGTTTGATGATTTTCAAGAAGTGTTGTTAAGTCTTTCTCTGTTATTAGTTAGGTAGGTGTTAACCTGTTTGTTGAAAACAAATAATATGTACTTAGGTTACACATAATGGTATCAGATCATCACACACATACATAAAACGTTCCTAATAATCTCATGGAAAAAGTATTAAACAGCAATGAGCAAAACATATTTCCAACCAGGGAATCCCTTCCCTTACTCGGCTCCAAGCTGCGGTTTCTTGCTCAACGAGGCGGTTAGCTAGAATATGTAGTTACTAAAATAATTATTAAGTAAACTTAATTAAAAATAACAAAACAGAGTATTCGTCATAACAAATATTCGTATGTAAATAACCTACCTTAACACAATGACAGTTCTCCGACTCAGTAATCTAATTCTCTCTTGACTCAACCTTATAATGTGGGCTCTTAAGCCTATAATGTCATCAAACATCGGCCTATAAATAACGTATCATAAAGATAATAAATATTTTACATTTCTGTCATTCAAGTGTGGGAGATTCAAGCTTTGGCACGAATGGGTCGGCTTGACCGGAGTGATACCCACGGCTTTGCAGAAAACCGGCGTGAAAACAGCGCTTACGTATGAGTACGGTAAACATCGAAAACCCGGCAAGGCACTTGCAAAATCTTTTTGGATGTCCTGAATGTTAAGATCGGATTCTGAAGTGTTCGTTCCAAGCTGGCAAGTCTAAACGGGTTATGTTATCCAGTTACTTTTTGTTTTTTATGGATGGCCCCGATTGTTTACCATCAAGTGAAACATCAGTTGATTTTCTTTGTACGATAAAAAATAAGTTTTACCTAGGTAGGTATAAGAATTTGAATGTCTAGAGCTGCACATAAGAATTAAATATACAAGAACTAGGAATGACCAAAATTATTAGTAAGTAATCATTTTTGAGGAGAGAGAATCAGTCAAATCATATTTTTTCTCGCTTACCTATATGATTGTGACTAAAAACCCCCGTTCCTTCTCCCGGTCTAGATCAAGGCCGCGATACTTTACTACGCTTGGCCCAGCTCTATCGTCTGTTAGACATTCTAAAATGAGTGTTTATGTGAAGTAAGGAAGTTGTACTGAGACAACAAACTTTATGAAAATGATCTGAGGCTCTGGATACACACAGTTGTACATAATCTCATGTAGGTAGGCACCTAGTAGTCATTTTCCCACGTTATATAGAAATCCAAGCTCAGTATAGGAAACAGTGATTTTTGGCAGTTGCAGTATCAACCTATCACTTTTATGATATAATCCGGACTTGTTATTGTTATCGAAGATAACTTTGTACTTTATAAGCGTCGGCGGGTGACAATCATTTACGGATAGATGAGACTTTTCTTTCAATTTTTTGCTAAAGGTAGGTAGATATATATTGCTCTGTTAAGTACAGAATTGTTGACGAGGATTTTTTATCTGTAGGTGATGGGCCGATTTGAATACTATGTCGCCTGGTGGTATGCGATGATGCAATCTACGATAGAGCAACCTATTCGTTCGGACTTTGAGGAGAATAGGTCATAAAGAAATCTATTCCATAGCGATACTAGTGAAAAAAGGTGCCTGCCTGTCTCAATTAGTTTCAAGCTACGCTAAGGGCTAATATTCATAAGTAGCGTTGAGCGTCAAACGACGCGGCGGGTATTGACGCACAGCCAACTGAAGCGACTAGTTACTTGTAAAAATAAATTATGTCGACTTAACTTTACTACAATACAATAAAAAATATCACTTATCGATGTCACGATTTACGTACCACGTGCTTCAAGAAAGACATGGTGACAACTTGCAACCCACAGAAAATGACGTTTTTCTCGTATTTTATTAGCAGTGTGTGCTTTGTGGTACCTACACAAAGCACACTAGACAACTCATTCAAACTCCGTTCTACGCTTCCATCCAAAGTTTGTCTGTAAGAGATCGCCTCGTACGAGAATAATTATTTCGTTTTATAATCAAACAAAAATTAATAAATGAATTTGAATAAGTAGTTATATTTACAATTATGTAATGCAATATTTCTCATTCTTGTTGGTTTTGAGTCAGTTGCAATTTAATTTTATCAATTATAAGAAAAGTAAGATTATCATGTATTGCGTGTCACTAAGTAGAATTGCAATATTTACTGTTTCTCATATCTACCTTCAAAATAAACGATTTCAATATTATGAAATATAAATTTGGGTTGGTTACTTCGCAACGCCAGCGTTGGCTATATAAAAATGTTATACAGATAGATAATGGTGGTACATAATTGCGTTGTGTTTTGTCTTGTCAGAGAGGCTACCGGAGACCTAGCCTTTTCCCCTCCAAAAGGATGATAGCTTCTGTCTCCTCAAGTGTTCTTAGGCAGCACGATGGCATACCATCAGGTGATCCGTCTGCTCGTTTTCCGCTTATATCACTTCATAGTACCTACTTATGAAATAAAGTCGCAGTAAACATATGTAGGTATGTATGCTGAAATCTTTGCAATTGGCAACGGATTTTAATGCGTTTTTCTAATAGATAGCGTGATTGAGAGGAAGTTTTATATGTGTAATAACATTCATTAAATAGTGGAAACATCTTAAAACCGCTGTATCCCATTAGCTTCATGAATCATTCTTAGTTTGACAAATTCCCAACATAAAAAAATTATCGTTTACCTTTATTAGTCACGATACTTTTCCAAGGACCCGTGTCACTTTATAGTGACACGCGGCCTTCCTATCTAATTAAAAAAGTACTTAATAGGATTAGTCATTGACAAACCTAATGATTAGTTCACAATAACATGGAAGGCGTTTATAAAAAGGGCCAAAACATAACATTACGACAATAATAGGTATAGCTAATTTAATCAAGATTATATATAAGGAATATGTTTAGATTGTCTTTCACTAAAATCGTGGTCGCCCTAGCCGCAGAACATTACTCCTTAAATATTCGCATAACTACAGGATTATTATACCTTCCGATGACTCAGTGATAGCTTATCGATAGTACTTACGAAACAATAAAAGGTTTTGAGTATTTAAATACCTTCTAGTGTTTCCTACATATCACACCTGTAATAGGGAATATGCATAAAATTTGAAATGGCCTAAAATATTTTTTTCTCGAATACTTATTATCGTAATATTATAATGAAAAGGATTTTTTTTTATTTACTTATTATTTAAACCCCTAAAAAAATATTCAAAAAGTGCAAAATAAGGGAGCGAAATTCAAACTTCCAAAACGCGCCACCATTGGTCGAACGAAATGTGACGTCATCTGACACGACATTGTATTCATCAGCGTCGAAACTCATACTGTTTTACAAGTTTTTGTGAAAAAAATAAATAATTTAAACCTGTATTCTTGTGCTGATTGTAGTGAAGTTTAGTTAAGATTTGTAGTGAATCTAGGACGATGACTGAAGCTGGTTTTGTCAAAGCACAATCGGACAATCTACCGAAAATAGATGCTTTCATGATGACAGCATATTTTGCATCAAATCCCGATTTTACGAGCGCAGAGATCAGAGGAGTGAAAGCTGCAAGGTAATTATTATGTTTCATAATACATTTTAGACCATAATATAGATTTTTATTCATAAATGCACACAGCAGTTTACATATATTAGGTTCACCAAAACATAACCTATACATATCCAGTTGTCATTAAAATTACTCTGAAACTCTTATTTTACGTCTATAAATAAATTTTTTATTATTGAAGTTCACCCTAGTATAATAACTTTGACTTTGTGTGTATCTGAGATAAATATATAATGATTTAATGTTTATAAATTGATACCCTGCTTTACGTGGACTGTTTTGTTTGAGTGTTTATAAGTACTTGTCTATTTCAGGTCTACACGAGAATCTTATGGTGATTCAGCAGTTGGATATGTCCAAGTAAAACGAGATGGCGACATATGTGTTGTTAAGGCTCGGATTACACCTGAACATAATGTGCGACAAAAATGTTATGCTGTTATTTGCACTTGCAATGAAACAGAAGAAACTATTCTCTCTGTTCAATGTGAAGATTGTGCTGCACATTTAGGTAATTATTTTTTACTTGTTTAGGTTCAGTGACCTGCACTTAGGAACTTGATTTTTTCTATAACTTTTTTGTTTTCTCATTTCTTTTGTTTTAGGTGGATGTAAGCATGCTATAGCTTTTTTAGCATGGCTACATCGGCGTAGTGAAGATCCATCAACAACAAGCATTGAGTGTTATTGGAAAAAATCTAAATTATCATCAATTGGTACTAGTAAGAAGTTTATAAAAGCCAAAGAAATGTATAAAACACCTAAACATGAGCTTGTGCCAACATCTTTGAATACTGAAAGCTTTCTCACAGTAGTAAAAAATAATTGCACTTTGGTTGGTGATACAAAGAATCATTTGATGAAGTTTTATAGAGCGCCAAGCACTGTGGAAAAATTGTCAATACACCATCTTCTGTCTACAAGCAAAGCTACAAACCCTCTTGATTTTATAGAATATTGCAAACTTATAATGACTGCAGATGCATGCAAAGGAGCTGCAATAGCTACTTTGGAACAAAATGACTGCCCATTGTGGCATGAGTTGAGGTATGGAAGGATCACAGCTTCAAAAGCTTATGATGCTGCACATTGCAATACTCTTGATGGAACGTTAACGGAGACCATTTTGGGAGCAAGTAAATTGAGGGACACAGAGGCTATGGAAAGGGGTAGATTGTTGGAAAGTCAGGTTTTAAAGGAAGTAGAAAAAATTTGTAAAATAAAAATAAGTAAATGTGGATTAAAGTTAAATAGTACACATCCTATTATGGGTGCTTCTCCAGATGGTGAAAATAGTGTGTATAGTATAGAAATAAAATGCCCAACATCAGAAAAAGCAATGGGACGATATGTCAGTTCAGGAAATAAAGTGACTGCCAAATATATGGCACAAGTGCAACTGCAGATGCATTTTTCTAATAAAGCAAAGGCACTGTTTTGTGTTGCTGATAAAGATTTTGAAAAAACAAAAAAAATATCAATCTTAGAAGTCAACTACGACCAGCAACTGTGTGAAAATTTGTTAGAAAAATGCGACATTTTTTGGAATAAAGCCATCTTTCCTAAACTAAATATGTATGACTAGATAGATTTTTTTTTGTTTATTGTAGGGGTACTGCATTTGATTTCTGTCTAATTCTGTTAATCTGTTTTTTTATGCTATGAAAATAAAACAAATGTAAATATATTATATTCATTTTTTTATTAAAACATCCTGCATATTTACCAATCCACAAGCTACTATTATTACATCATCTATGATAGGAATTAAATTATAGTCTACACAAGCATGAGGCAGTAACATATGAAACTCTCTTAACCTATTTATTACCCGTTCAACATGTATTCTTAATGCTGCTATACGTTTTGATAGTTTCACTTCATTTTTAGTACTGGGGGTAGACTTTGATACAGAAGGTGGTCGTATAAGGGTACATCTTTTAGCTTCTAGCAAACATGATAAGTCTTTAAAACCTCTGTCAGCCATCACTGCTTTATTAGGAGGTAAAGCCTGTAAGTAACTACTATCTTGTACTATCATAACATCAGTAGCCCTACCACCATATCCATCAGAGATAAAATTGATCAAGCCATCAGGTGTACATGAAATTAAATACTTTAAGGTGTTACATTTTTTATACTGTGACCAAGTAAGTGATTGATGAACGGCATTTGATGGTTTTTCAATCTGAATTTCTAGGCAATCAATAATGGAAACAACATTCCCATACCTACGCCTAAAAGATATGGGTAAATTATTGTAAATATCTGATGATGCTGGCCACACAATCAAGTCCTTAAGTTTTGCTGCTATAAGAGAAATACTTCTAGAAAATATTCTACAAATAGTACTTTGTGAACATCCAAATTGTAGTGCCAAGATGCTAAAGGACTCATTTAATTTAATTTTCTTGAGGGTTATTAATATGTGTTTACTAGGAAGCGGAATATTATCACTTAAAAGTTTTATTAAATGATATGATTGTTTAGGTAATCCTAACAACATTTTTGGCTCTTTTTCAATAGCAGTTAGCATGATACTACACATTTCATATTTAAACTGTTTCTCCTTCTCTGAATCACTTAGAACTTCGCTCGACTCAGATTGATAACTTGGTTCATAATCAGTAGAGCTCGTAGAAAAATAAGATGATATAGAAATAGTATCCGCTGTGTTTTCAGTAAACAATTTTCTTTTTAAAACAGATAGTTTTACTGGTGAAGTTCCTATATTTTGTGTTACAAAAGGAAATGGTGACAGTGCTACATTTTGTTTTTTAGTAGGTATATTTACATTGACACCTTTACTTCTATAGTTCGGTTTAATATTAACTTGCACAGCTTTGTCACAATGCAATGTCTTCTCAATATGAGAAGTGGAAAGCTCTACCTGAAGATCATCACATCCAATACGGGAAGTACTGCATCCTGGTTGATCACAGACATTTGTGTGGGAAGTACTTGGACTCACTTCGTGATCACTTCTTTGTGAAGGTTCGCTAACACTACTTTTGATAGCTATCTCTGATGAAAGGGCTTCATTGACCAGTGTCAATCTTTGCATTTTAACTACAGCCATTCTCTCCTTTGGTAATGGCATCCTCCGTTTTTGACACAAAAATATATGTGGCAAAACTCCTTTCTTCAACCGTAGAGTACATTTTTCTCCTTGCTCTTTCATTAAATTGTATTCAATATAATTTTCTGTATCTTCCTTAACCTGGAATAAACAATAACCATTAAAATTTCGTAAAAGCACAACAAGAATAGTTTTTATAGAAAGTTAGTTTTTATAACTGAGTACTGAACTTTTCTTATAGGTTAGGTTAATTTTAAACTTCTAATGTTCAATAACTAATGCAAAACTTACTTTTTACTAATTCACAATAAGCTATATATTATATAGTATATAAATAAAGTACACTTACGTTAAAATGATCTTCACAACAATATAAACACGATTTAGGAGATATATTATCCCTTCTCATCACCTTACACCACTGTTTTCGTATTTTCGCATCACTTGAAATACGAAAAAACACTTTGTCGGGTGTTTTTCGAGTAGTATTTGTGCACTTCGGTACTATACAATACTTATAAGATAATTTTTTGACTTCTTCCATGGTTTTAAAGTTATTAAAACTGTAAATATTACGAAGTAACTGAAAAGTCCATAGTAAAAACTAAGGTAAACACCCACTGGACGTGTCATGTGACGTCACGCAAAGCGCGCGCAAAATGGCGGCGTTTGAACTGCTTAAATTTTTTAAAAGTTTTAAATTTCATTTTTAAAAATATCTAGAGTATTTTGAAACCCATTAATATTTTTTTCTACGTTATAAAATAGTAAACTATTAATTTAAGACAAAAAAGAAAAACATGAATATTCCCTATTACGTCGGCTCGAGACCCTTAAAAGTAACTAATTTGATTGACATTTTTTATTAATTAAGAAGATTCGTTCGAGATATCAGTTGTGTATTTAAATTCGGCAATTATCTTAAAGCCTATATTTTTACATTAAGTCGAAACAAGTGAAAAGAAAATGAACGTGCCATATCAAGATGATTCTGAATATCCAAAATCTCTGGATAACAACGACCCCATGGGACATTTCAGACAACGATTTTTCCTCAAGAAAGACAGCATTTACATGTGTGGCAATTCCTTGGGTCTAGCCACGAAGGACGCTGAAGAATGTGTGCTAGAAGTCATGGAAAGATGGAAAGAGGAAGGAATTAAAATATGGACAGTCGAAGACAACAAATACTATTTATACTCTAGATACTTAGCAAAACTCATGGCTCCCATAGTAGGGGCTGATCCTGATGAGATTGCTGTCTTTGGTGGTACAACAATTAACATACATCAAGGAATAAGTACCTTTTACAAACCTACAAAGGACAAGTACAAGATACTGGTGGACGACATCAACTTCCCTACAGACCGGTACGCTGTGGATAGCCAAGTATTACTGCAAGGTTACGATCCAAAAGATGCAGTTAAAGTTGTGAAGAGTAAAGGAAACTTTATGGATGAAGATGATATTATAAACGCGATGACAGAAGATGTGGCGCTGATATTCTTGCCTACCGTGTACTACAGAAGCGCTCAGGTGTTAGACATGGTAAAAATAACTAAAGCAGCTAAAGAAAGAGGTATACTTATCGGATGGGACCTTTGTCACGGCGTTGGCGCAATAGAAATCAATTTAAAAGAAATAGACGCTGATTTTGCAATCTGGTGCACTTATAAATATCTGAACGGAGGCCCTGGATCTTCAGCAGCCATATACGTCAATAGAAGACATTTTAAAAGGTTACCGGGTCTAGCTGGGTGGTATGGCAACAAGATCGAGACGCAATTTCTGCTGAGACAGGAATTTGATCACCAACAAGATGCGAATGGATGGCAGATTGGAACGCCTAATGTTTTATCAATGGCGTCTTTAGAAGGGGCTTTGAAAGTGATTAACGAAGCCGGTGTATCGAATATGAGGAAGAAGTCTTTACACATAACAGGGTACTTGATGTACCTCATTGAGAAGAAACTGTCTGCTTACGGGTTTACTATTGGGAATCTGCGTGAAGATAGTAAGAGGGGTGGACACGTGTGTTTGGAACATGATGAAGGTTACAGAATCAGTATAGCAATGAAGAAAAGAGGTATCGTTGCAGACTTCAGAGACCCCAACGTAATCCGTGTGACTCCAACAGCCCTGTACACGAGCTACGAAGAAGTTTACCGAGTAGTGGATATTTTACTAGACATTGTTAAAACTGAAAGTTACAAAGAGATTGACAGGAACAGAAACTATGTAGTTTAATAAGTCAAAGTTAAGTGTAATAGAATGATATTTCTCATTTTTGTTCTCGAACTAAATGTGTGTAAAATACCGATCTTAGATTTTAGAATATTTTAGAATATTAAGTAGAAGAGCCAGGGTGTTGAACTCTGTCAGTTTTTCTTTTGTAAAAATAATTTTAAAGGTAAGGGATGTGTATGTGATGGAAATAAAATAAAATGAAATAAAACAATCAGTATTTGGTTTTCTTTATATTTTAAATTGAAAATAGGCTTATACTATTTTACTCGAGTTGCAATGTGATTATATCAACATGCCATAAAATTTATCCTATCACAAGTCCAGAATTATATTAGACATAATTTTTTGGAGGTTTTTTAACAAAATAATATTCACACTTACTATAATCACACCACAACGATCCATTTATAAATAAAAAAAATATTATGTATAATAATTAACAAAATGTCAAAACGTCATTCCTTCTCAGTGTTGCCGGCCGAAATAAAAAACATCTATTTTATACTAACAACATCTGCGTGTGACTTTTCGTACTTACAACTTATCTGGGATGTACAATAATGAACCCTATTTTAATAAAACTTAATAATAACAGTTTTTTTTCTATTAATCATTATTATTTATTATTTACAGTAATTTACATCACAAGAGTATGTTGTATGGTGGTTGTTTACAATACAACATTTCATTTCCAACATAAACTAACGTAAGGAACTAACAGTAAGGACCCAAAAGGTCTTATTTTAGGTTTAAACAAAAAGTTTTCTCTCATTTTGAATTTAGAATAGAATCGAGAAGATTTTAAATAAATCACATAGAAAACTTTTAATTCAAACCATTACATTTTTCATGAAATGCTAGCTGGAACTATGCTTACTCAGGAGTCCCTAAATTTTCTACAATAACTTATTGTTACAAAACTGTTGTTCTGTTTACAATGTAACTCGGCCGTTGTGTTAAAATGCTGGTATAGGACACATCTATATTATTACATTAAAACTACATTTGTATGAAACACTGAGTTCGGCAAATTGCTAATACAAGTATCATAACTAGAACATGCATACTTTACAATGGATGGTACTAGCATTACGGATGGCGTGATAACAGAAAATTTAGCGTTCCGTAAATCGAGTACCGATCAAACCCACAACAGGAATGATGTAAGGATTACTAAGTCTTATAAGAACAGGACTCCCGAACGTCACAACGTACAATTTCACAAAAAAAGCACTAAACAAAAAGGATTTTTTTTTTTAATTTTTCAACAGTATTTGACCGCACTGCGGTGCGGAGTCTACATGAGTAACAAACGTTCTTACCTCGATTGTTCTCGCGAGCCACCGACGTGAGTGGGGCTCGAGTAGCGCGGGACGAGTCGTCTGTATCCACCATACTTGTTTCCGCTCACACCACACACGAATGAGTGACAGATGGTTGCCTAACTGTAGCCTTGAGCCTCTGTCAACAACAAATAGTGTTGGAAGTTAGTCGCTTATTATTGATAAACATACAAAATGCACTTAAAAACAATATTACTGCAATAACTCTGTTCTAAACGCAAATTAGTGTTTAAAAGCTAATCCCTAAAATAAGCCGGCTTCGTCTAGTTTTTCACATATAATTTGACGTGTAAAAGTGCCGTTTTAATGGCCTATTTGCAAAAATGAATTCATTGTGTCATTGTTTCAATAATTAATGTAAAATAAAAAAAGTCATAGAAGATTAAATGTCACTTTATGCTATGATTTTCAACTTTAGCTATGCTGGCCAAAAATTAGTAGTTAACTTCATAAAAATAAAATAAACAGAAAACTAACAAAATATCACATAGAACATCCATTTTGCGATCTTGGCCAGACCGCCGTAGTAGTAACGACATTCTGAAAAATAATTCAAATAAACGATAATTTATTTTAAAAACTTTTCTTTTCGATACGCTACCAACTACCGTGAGTTAATTATTGCAAATATAAGTTACATTTTAGCACTACCTAGTCTAGTCTAAATAAGTAGGTACTGAAAATACACAAAAAATAATTCTAATCTTAAATTCTATTTGCTGTTACACAATAAAATGGATGGCTAAATATACTTAACTAACGGGGACATAATGATAAACAGTGTTAGTAAAATAATTAATGATGTATGAAAAGTCAAGTCATAATATGGTAACTTTACAACTGATTGTATGTAGTTATAAAAATCATCAAAAGAACAGCTGGCTCAAACTGTAACACGATTTTGTCGAGTGCGTGATTACTGTATTGATAATTTTTCATTATCAGTCATTTAACTTTGTTTTTTATTACTTCATGAAATAAAACAATGTCTTTTTCTTTGTCTAATATTTTCTCCTGTGTCGTGGGTGCTTTCATACCCAAACCTGGAACAACAATTTGTGGATCACACAAAGAGTTGTTCCGTGCGGGAATCGAACCCGCGACACCACGACAGCCAGTTGTCTAGCCACCGCGCCAACCGTGCAGTCATTATCAATATATTCCCATGTATGCTTAAATCTTTGAAATTACGCAACGGATTTTAATGCTGTTTATTTAATTAGATAGTGATTGAAAATGATATTTATATGTAAAGTCACATCCATTGAATAGCGGAGGAATTTATTATCAGAATTGCATTCGTGCGAAGCTGGGGCGGGTCGCGAGTTGAGTATAAACGATAGGGCGAAACAAAACTATAAGATAATGAGAAAAACGCAACATACCAACTTATCGACAACATGACAAAAACTATCGTGTCATATTGTTTGTATCTGGGCTCGTGTGAAGGGAAACTTGTCAAATTCATTAGTGCTTACAGCTAGCTACATATCTCGTATATGTACAGACAACAGTGCAGATGAGGGGGGGCAGGTACATGGTGGTGGTGGGTAGAGTAGCTACACTAAGCCTAGACTAGCTACGTACAGTTGTGCAGGCGCACCGAGGGCCAGTCGTCGAGGTCGCGCGGGTCGGGGCGCGCGGGGGCGGAGTCCCGGCGCCGCGCAGTGCGCGGGGGCTCCGCCCTCGACACGCAGCCTTCGTGGATGTGCACCGACGAGATGTCCGACCCCGGGATCTCGAACATCACCTCCAGCAACAGGTTCTCCTGCAACAACAAAACAACATTAACTTACTTAACAGGCTGATTGAATCTTTTTCTTTAACCTAAATAAAAGCTTTGATTTTGTTCATCGTTTGAAACTTGAACTTTTGACAAATAATTGTTAAATAATTTGATAATTGTGATATTTTGTATACTCATCGATTTATCATCGACTGAAACAAGAAAGTGGATTACCGGTTCTTCAATATAATTGGCAAGTGTTTATGAAAAGATTTTGACCTCCCATTAATTGTTAGGGATAGGTCATAGGATATGGGTAGTCATGAAATGAAAAGAATCCTGTTCTTACGAATAGAGCTCTCTCAGTCTAAACAAGTAATGGAATTCATTACTTTTATATATTTTTACGTTTTATTATGTTTATACTTGTTACAAAAAATATTAATGTTTAAAAAACGAAAAGCGTCGAGTTTTATTAACCTACATGCCTTTAATTTTATGGGTAGAAAATCGATCGAACTTGTTTTTATATCTCAAAGGAGTTGTAATTTGAAATTTTAATGCAATAATATTTTACCTTTATAACGTCAATAAAAATAATTGTCTTATCAGTTTTACGCAGTATTACGTTTCCTTCTTAATTTTCATGTAGTAATTATTTTAACTTGTTATCCTAAAAGATATTGCAAAACTTTCTTTTTACGAATTGTATTCTTTTATAATTGTAATTATAGAGATGAAAAGTCAGAGAAGGCAGAGAATTTTAATATTATATTAATGGAATTTAACTATTAACCTAAATGTGTATAGAGTGATACCACGGCTTCTCAGAAAACCGGCGTGAAACAACCACAGCATTGTGTTACCGTTATCGGATGCCCAATCCTTCCCCTCCCACAATCCCTCCCTAATCCTGAAATCTCCTAATCCTTAACCCCAAAAAGGTCGGCAAGGCACTCGCAACACCTCTTTTGTTTCGGATGTCTATTCCGCAAGGCTAAGTTCTAGGCCGCAACTATTCAGGACTTGTCATCTGTCAAATCATGTCAACAGGATGATAAGATATTGATTTTCGACTAGATTTTCAACGAAATTGAAAAAAAATAGTGTAAAAAGTAAGTATTACCTTACGATTTTCTTCCTCGTGAAAAATATGGATATTATAATGCGTAAGGGATTAGAATTTTAATTCTCTTCACAGCAGCTATCCATGTTTGTCTTTGCTGTAATGACCACTTTGATTTTGGAAACGAATAAAACTTGCACAAACTGTTTTCCCCATTGTTTTTACAATTTACGACACAGCATGTATTATGACCCAAATTGCAAATTTTTACGTTTTTACTTAAAATTATAAAGGAGGTTATGAAAACAAAGCAATTTGACACATGACAGTCCAGAATTAATTAACATTTCTGCCACGTCGTGCGCTAAGATCGATTTACCGTTCCCCACCACTCACTTCGCACATAGCGAATAGGCAGTACTGATTGCTTACCATCAAGTAATCTATGTGTTCGTTTGCCGTCCTATCACATAAAAAGTAAAAAATACCTTTCATTCGTGGTAATTTGAGACACAATAGAAGAACAATAGGTACGCGAATAACGGCGTTCGCTTGGGGTTTGGTCAATTTAAACATTCTTCAGGTATTTTCTCTTCTTTTCTCTATATCAGAGCTATTAAAGCGAATGTAATCTCTTTTTCCTAGCTAAGGGTTCACCACACTCTGTATAAGGGTCACGCAGTCAATAAACTTATTTAAATTGGAAGGTCGTTACGTTGCTTAGGTCAATACACTTTCTTGTATAATTAGTGTTACACTTTAAATTTATTTTTAAACAGTATTTATGTTTAATGTATAAGTTTGTTAAATCAATGTTGGTTTACTTAATTTACCTTGTTGTGTACGTGTAATACACAAACCTCTCAGTTATTCTAAATATTAATTGGACTTTTTAACTATACATAGACAAGTTTCTTTTTTAATTTTGTTATCTCATATTATTTTATTTTCATACATTTTAAAATTGATATTTAATTTTTCTTAAATGTGGACAACACAAAAGAAAAATTTACATGAGATGTTGACTCGACAAGTGCTCAGCCTCGAATTCGACACATCTGAGGATACCCTGTGGAGTGGCGAAACACGTGTCGAGTATAGTTTTGATTGCATGCCATGATTTTCCATTTTTTACACGTGTACATATGCATGCTACCTTTGCTGCATTGCATATGCATGGTTGCATAGAGTGGGATTGCATACTGCAACAAGCCTGGTTTTATGTCGCGGAATTATTTCCATAACATTTTAAAAACACTGGTAGATGACGTACCATGATAGCTCTAAGGCCTCGAGCCCCAGTCTTCCGCTCCATGGCGAGCGCGGCGACAGCCTTCAACGCCTCGTCACTGAACGTCAGCTCGCACTTGTCCATCGCAAACAGCAGTTTGTATTGAGATACCTGGAACATAAATAATAGGTAAACTCCCAGTCAGCTGACTAAGGGAATTGGTGGCAAACGAGCAGACGGATCACCTGGCGGTATGTGATCTGTGCCGCCCATTGATACCCGTAAGCCTTGTATGTAGGAGTATGCTGGTTTCTTACAGGTTTAACGGGCGTATTGGTTCAGAATTATCACCACGGATATTTCGTTTAGTTAAGTTGGCGAAATTAAGTTTACTGTTAACGAAGACCGATCGGCAGGACTTTTCAATATTATTGAAGTAATTAAATTAGCTTTATATAGCGTCTGCCAAAAATAGAGGTCTTGGCGGTCTTGCCAAGGCATGAATTGTAATAGGATGTTGATGTGACATAAAAAAACTACTCACCATAGCATTTTTAGGTTCCTTTAGTATCCGTACGAGCAGATCTTGATTGAGACTATGGAAAGGTACTAAAACGGGGAATCTTCCGACGAATTCCTGTAGAATTAATGTCACAATTATTATTAAATTGTTCTTTTAAGCTGATTTTCCTGTCAATGGGTATTTTATTTTTTGTGGGAAAGTGACCTCTAGTAATTTTGTAGGGAAATGTTACAAAGTATGGTTTCAAAGTCGTTGGGAGGCGTCAAAATTAGATTTCTCAAAAACGTTAAAATTCAAAATTGTTGTTGTTCGACGAACTTGCATGAAGAAGGGAAAGGTATATATTTGACTATTGTATGCATGATAATTTTTATTTATTTCTTCGTGTTAAACAAAGATATAAATCAGTTTGTAAAAAAGCAAGTTCTAGTTAAATTTAAAAAACAATAAAATACTGGGACAAATTTCTCTTAAACGGCTTAACCGATTTAAATGATTTTTTCTGTATGCGTTTGCACCCTGTATGGTTTAGATTCACAAATCAGCTCGGCGGTAGGCGCTGATTGTTTGAAGTAGCATGTGATCTCGGAAATGTACTAACAATTTCACTGTTTGATAATGTAGGAGATTTCGGGGAGGGTCCCTAGCAAAGAATAAATAAATAAAGGTGGTTGTGTACCGGTATCATGCCGAAGTCGATGAGGTCCCGCGCCTGGACCTTCCGTAGCCATGCGTCGCGCTCGTCGTTCTCAGCGCGCGCGGAGTCGAGCGGGCTGGCGTCGCTGGCGGCGGCGGCCAGCGCGGCGCGCCGCCCCGACCGCGGGTCCCACGCGCCGAACCCAAGGTACTTCTCGTTGTTGCGACGCTGCACCAGTCTATGGAAATAATCACCTTACATTTTACTACTGGTCCGGTTCATTTTAATATTTGTTTCGCAATTTCACTAATAAAACATTGAGTATGCTCAATTAATGCTCAAACCTTCTCCGTGTGAGGAAGCATTTGCTCAGCAGTGGGCACTTATAGGTTGATGATGAACATTGAGTATACATTATCGTACTCCTATGTAAAAACAAAGCAGAGACAAGTTGTACAAAAAAGAACGAATGATGGGATCTATAATTAAATTTTAATACTTAGTCATTTCGAACATGGCGTTCATATATGCGTACTAACAAAAGAACTCTGATGGTCGAAGATCGTTGCTCTATCGCTAAGGCCTATTGCTAGTATTGCCTATTGCTGGGCATTTTTTTAATGGTATAAATCGTGTTTGCCGATTTATTTAGCAGACAGATTACCTGATGGTAAGCAATCGGCGCCGCCCATGGACACCCGCAACACCAAAGGAGTTACGAGTGCGTTGTCGGCCTTTTGGGAATAGGGGTTGCGGATATAAGAATCGGGAAGGGATAGGGTAGTGGGAGGGATTGGGCCCCCGGTAACCTCACTCACACGGCGAAACACAACGCTGTGGTTGTTTCACGCCGGTTTTCTGTGAGGCCGTGGTATCACTCCGGTCGAGCCGACCCATTCGTGCCGAAGCATGGCTCTCCCACTCGTTTCGCCGTGTGAGTGAGGTTACCGTAGGCCCAATCCTTACCCTCCCCCAATCCCTTCTAAATCCCTAAATCTCCAAATCCCTAATCCCTAAAAGGTCGGCAACGCACTCGTAACTCCTCCGTTGCGAGTATCCATGGGCGGCGCTGATTGCTTACCATCAGGTAATCCGTCTGCTCGTTTGCCGACCTATTAAATAAATAAAAAAAAAAGCATGTGACGACTAGTAAGTGCGTACCTGTCGAGTCCGTTGTAAGCCCCGCTGGCGACGAACAGTATGTTGGTGGTGTCGACCTGCACGGCGTCTCCGCGTAGTTTCCTCGAGTTCCGCTCGGGCACGGACACTACGGCGCCCTCCAACATCTTCAGCATACCTTGCTGCACGCCCTCGCCTGGAACACGTACAACGGGTGTTCTTTAGATCAAGATCATTTTATTTCTTTAAGGACACATTTTTCAATAGTCAGATAAATGTTATCTGAGGAATAAAATTGTTGCTGTCACTGTCTTTTACAAACATTCAGACGTGACAGCATCATAATTTTTCCATAGGTAACTTATATCTAACAATTGCAAAATCACCCCAAAATCAAGTAAAACACGTACCACTAAACTTAACAAAGTATTTGACAATAAATTCAATCCTTTTATTGAAATGTCCAAAACGAAACTCTTCTACGAATTACGTATGGAAAACTTTTAACTTTTTCTTTAAAATGTAAACAATAAAAAATAATTTAAGTATAGGAATTTATTTTTGATCGAAGAAAATAACCAATTGCATAAATTGCATTTTTGTTTGAACTTTAATAGAAAATTTATGTCATATGGTCTATATTTGGGCATATAGCCTTGCTAGCCAGAAGTTCAATATACTTTTCATATAAGTCATACATTTTCTTTGACATAAAAATCAAGTTCAATGATAAAATATTCCATAAAACACCATCAGCTCACCTCCGACATCTCTAAGTTGGTGTATGCCGGGCACTGCACCAATTTTGTCGACCTCGTCTAAGAACACGATACCAGTCTGCGCTCGCTCGACACTGTAATAAGGAAAAGAGACTAAAATTAAGCACAAAGTTTACATAGAAAACCAAGCTTGGAGTATAAGTATCCCACAAAACAATAATAAAAATATATCGTTGCAGATATAGTAGCAAATTATATAGACGTCATTCTCCTTTTATATTTAGCAAGAGAATTTTCACAAATTCACAATTTTAGACAAATTTGTACTAGGTTCGACTGCAGAGTTGATGCAGTGGCTGGGCAACCGGCTGCCTTTGCCTTGGACTCGATTCCCGCAAGGAACAAACTCTTTATGCGATCCACAGATAATTGTTCCGTGTCGGGGAATGTGTATGTCGAATTTTATGACACACCCTTGACTCAGAAGAAAATGCTAGTGCAAGGCAACATTTACAAAATGAAAAAATATATATATATAGTATTTAGGGTAATTTCAGCAGCATTTGGACGTCCGCCACACCATATAATTTACAACTGCATTGCTGGATTTAGAGCGAATTGGACCGCCAAAAACTACTCTGGCACATCAAAAATTAAAGCAAGCCTTTAATGGCGTTTAATAATATATTCATAAATTAACTAACTTGAAATTGGCGTCCTGCAACAGTTTGGCGATGACACTCTCGATGTCCTCGCCGACGTAGCCGGCCTGTGTGAGCGTCGTACAGTCACAGATCGCAAACGGCACGTCGAGACATTGCGCTATCGTTTGTGCTAATAGAGTTTTACCTGGAACCAACAACGAAATACTTAACATAAAATTCCGTCGTCTTCGGAACTAATTGGATCACATTTCTTGGTGAAAAACTTATTATTATAAAACTAGCTGATCTGACAAATGTTGTTTTGCCATATTTAAGCTTAGCCAGTAGTCGATTCTCAGACTTACTGAATATGCATATAAAATTTGGTGAAAATCTGTAAAGCCGTTTCGAAGAAGTGAGGTAACTAATATTGTGACGCGAGAATTTTATACATAAAAGATATTTTTACTCCTGACTATAGTCACGTGATTATCACACAGTATTAATAAGACTAACACCCAGTTTCTGAAAGGCTTGTCAATTCTTTGATCAACTAACACTGCGATTAATTTGACATGACTGTCAAATCAATTTGAGTTTCTGAAACGTTGATCAAGGAATAATTAACTAATCTATGATTATTTTGATTTGACATGCGATTTATTTTTAGTCATAGCCACACTGCTCTTTTTTGTTCAATAGTTCATTCTTATCTGTCAAATATGTTAATATTAAAAAAATTACGGACTGTCATTGATGTCAAACAATTCTGCGAAATTTAAATATCAAGTTACAATTTCAATAAAATGCTAACAAAACTTCCTTAAAATGGCATAACGAGGGAAGAATTTCATCGAAAGGGAAAGGCATGTTCTTTTAGAACTAGTTCAGAAGTAAGTCAAAGTTTAAACATATATTTATTACCTATTGCGTTTTATAAACCTCTTGTTGTTAAAAAGTATTAAATATCTTTGTTTATACTTCACATCCTGCGCTGCAGCCAAGACTGATGTATAATACGCACAATGTTTTATTACAGATACAAGCACATAATTGATAATCAGTTCACAAATACTACATCTAGTACTAATAAAAATTAAGGTCGGGAAACCATAATGAATGAATTCAAAAGTAATGCAGAAGTGTCTTGAAGCCAAAAACAGTAATCACAGCCCATGGGAATTAAAAAGAACTACGAGACAGAATAAAAATGTAAGTTTTTGATCTTAAAATACTTTTTTAGTGCCCACACTAGTTAGTCAGAATATTGTAACCGTTACCAGATTATGATATATTAAATATCTGTCCTGATTTCTTAACTAAGTACCTAATAATGTATTAAGAATAATTATTGCAACTTTAATGAAATTTATTTACAGGTAATTTTACTTGCACATCAAGGAAACAATTTAAACATGAAAGGCAGACACTCAGAAACAAAATAATAAGAAGTATAATGAAATAAAGATGGAGTATGTAAATAAAAAAAAGAAGTTATTAGAAGATCGGTTAACTATAACTCAGCATATATTTCGAAATAAAATAAGTTATTTGGTTAAGAAATATACATTATTAGTATTTAATTTAAATATTGGTAGGTTACTATACTAACTAAATATGTATATATGTAAGTAAGATAATAGGTATACTTGGTTTTATATTTCAAGTGTTATATTATATTTTTATAAAGATTAATAATTAAATATATTAATAATATGGTTATTTCTTTGTATTCACCTAAAAATACAAACCATTAATATTACTTAACAATTAAAATGAGTCAACAACAAAGATGTGAGCACAGAAGTGTTTTCATTTATCACTTAAAGAGCACCAATATCTTCTTGAACTATACTTTTTTTTCTGAGGGGAAAATCATCAAATGACTTCTCCTGCCCAGGGTCGGCGGGAGGGAGTGTCAGACTCTTGTTGACTAAAAACCCCCCTGTTCCTTCTCCTGCTCTGGGCCGAGGTCGCGGTGCCTCATTGCGCTTACCCCGCAACCCCGGCTGAACATCAGCCCTATGGGGCCCCGTCTGTGGTGGTCTATGGGCTCTTTGAGGCGCGCGCGGAACACTACGCGCCGTACGCTCGGGTCTGGTTCTGGTCGGGTGGCGAGCTACCCTTACTCGCCGTCCACAGACCCGCGCTTACGGTGGCCGGAGATCATCTCTCGATCACCGACGCCCGGAATGTCGCCTTCTGCGGCGGCTGGGGCGCGAGGAGGATAGTTCCCTCGCGCGCTCCGCCTCCTCCTTTGCGAGCATAACTGCTTCGCAGGAGGAGGAGATAACTTCCCAGTTCCTTTCGCTATAAACCATGGCCTCGATTAAGGCAGGGCGCGAGAGGTCGCCGCCGCCGATCACTTCCCTGAGTTCACGGCGGTGTTCAGCCCAGGCAGGGCATACCGCCACCGAATGCTCCACCATATCCTCTAGGTGGTCCTCACAATGACTACACTCGGGCATTTCCTTACGCTGGATCCGAAACAGGAACCTACCGAAGCTGCCGTGTCCGGTAAGCACCTGCGTCAGGCGGAAGGTGAGGACGCCGTGGCGTCTCTCAAGCCACTCCTCAAAGAGAGATCTTACCGCTGCTATTATAGCGTGCCCGGCCCTCGTTCTTGAAGTATCCTAAGATATACTTGAGAAATATCCTTTCCTGTTCCTGTACAGCTCAGCTCACCCACCAGTAGACTGTATCTTTACATGTGTGCAGTCAAATGCCCCGATCACATTTGGAAAAGAGCTAATTTTGTAGAATTCTGTTTTTATCCTTGTGCAATCTTCATGTTTACAGGGCATAGTAATCGCTGCAGATTCTTTTGTTATTATTCTACAAGCCGCAGATTTGTGCACTCTCAGCAACCGTAATTTGAAATGCTCATGTACCATGGTAATAGCTTATTGTCAGTAGCACCTATTCCAAAGCAGTGATAGAATGGTTCCTCAAAGTGAACTGTTTAATATTCGGTTCTAATATGTTAACTAGTAATAGCACAAACGCCTTTGTCCGTTGGTTGGTACCGATTCTTAAATTCCCCTTCATTGTAGAAATCAAACGGATTCATTATGGTCTTAAATCTTTATAGCTACGCGTCGCGACATTATCGTAATCTAAAACCAGAATCAATGTAAGTTAATCAAGATATCAAATAATTTACACTTACAAAGAAAATGATATTATTACAAATATCATTTCGTAATAAATATTTCTGTTTAACATACTTTAAAAAATATATACTTATTTGAAGAGAAAATGTAGACTCACGTGAAAAATCAGTTGTATTCGTAAGTTAATTCGCCAACAAGCACCGATTAGTTGACCGAGCTTTTGACAGACGAATAATCTATGATCAAGGCTTGACCAGCGTTTCAGAAACCCAAAATTGCGATAATCATTCGATTCTTGAGTTGATTTGACAGCCATGTCAACTGACATGATGGTCAAATTAGTTGATTAATCATGCTTTATGCAACCCAATTGACACTTGACAAGAGATTTAACAGGAGATTAGTTAATTTTAGCGTTGACAAGCCTTTCAGAAACCGGGCGTAAGTTTATACAATAAACAAGCATAACAGAACATATTCCTTATTTTTAAGAATTCAATGTTACACGAACCAAAAATAAGACAACGAGCGAATGCTTTGACTTTTAAATTAGCAAAGAAGAGAGAGAGAGAGATTTAAAAAAAAAAAACCAAATTAATAAAAAAGCATGTAAATGCATTGTTCACTATGGTTTAAAAATAGAATAAATAAAAAAAATATTATTAAAAAAACAAAATACCCGACTGCACACTAAAAAAAGAGTAAAACAAGCCCCACAATACAAATTTACTGAATATAATTTATAAATGTTGATGGAAAGCATCGCAGGCGGGGACCAACAGAGGCTTATTTATAGTCATTTCTGTTGTGCACCATTTAGCAGAATTTTCGTTGGTGGCGGTCAAGGTGGTCCCCGCCTGCGATGCTTTCCATCAACATTTATAAATTATATTCAGTAAATTTGTATTGTGGGGCTTGTTTTACTCTTTTTTTAGTGTGCAGTCGGGTATTTTGTTTTTTTAATAATAATTTTTTTATTTATAACTTTTTAGCTGTTTTTATTTATCCCGTGGGACTTTTAGGATAAAATGTATCCTATGACACTCCCGTAATCAAGACAAATCTAACGATACCTCATACATCAAAATCCATCAAGCCGTTTAGGCTACAGGAGGTCACAAAGGAAAAGACATACATACATACTTACATACACTCGAAAAACATTACCCTCCTTCTTTGGCAGTCGGGTAAAAAGAAACATGCTCAAATATTTCTTTTTTAAAACAGACAGCGCTGGCTGGTCGTACAGAAAGCTCATTATTTAGTTGTAATTGCGGCAGGATGCGCGTGAGTTGAATTATGTAAGGAGTTTGTTCATTGTTAAGATTTTGTTATGAAATTGTTGCATTCAGTGCTTACTCATTTGCTAGTTACGTAAGAACCCTTTTGTGCTAAATTGTGTTTGTAGGTCTTGTTTTCTTGGCCAACTGCCAGGGTTCAGCGTAGAAGAAGTATTAGCAGTAATTTTAAAGACATATTTTTCTAAAGTTATTTTACCCTATCTAATTGTGAATAGAAAATTGCAGAACTGGTAACAGGATTGTATACATTGTTGCAAATTATGTGAGATTGAACTCGAGAAAGGCTGGACCGACCTGGCTTATGGCAGTCTTAAAATATTCTTAGATATACAGAGAAGCTTGAAAGGTCATAAAATAAATAATAAATAAATTATAGTTTTATTTCAGACGGTACGAAGTTTACCGGGTTAGCTAGTAAGGAATAAAAAAAAAAACATTTCAAGTATTTTACTAAATCAAAGTAAAAAACTGTAAAGAATTAGTGACAATGCTAGCTAGCTTCAACTTATGTATTTCAATCTGGTTGCGTAAAACCGGTCTTACTAAAATCGGCTTAACAATGACGAACATTGGTAAATAAATGATAAAAAGCCGATTTTATTACTATGTAGTAATAAAATAGAAGTTTTCCTTAAAACTATTGGTATAAAGCTATAAAGAACTAGGACGTGAATAACTGAGAAAAGCTCTACTAGTATCACTGTGAGACTTGCCGTGCTTTTTGATTACCAGTACCTATCTGTGTTCTGACAGTTTGAGTACTTGCGCGACCCACCCAAATGTTCTTTTGAAGGGTATTGTTCGTAGGAAGACTCAGCAGCACTAGCTATACTGGTTGCAAACTGACACTTGCGTGCCTGTCTTCAGACCGGGTCCACTTAAACTGGCGTGGTTCTTTACTCAAAAGACCACTACATACTGAACTTGCACGATTCTCTCACATTATGTTATTTTTACATTGTCTGGACTTGAAATAAGACTATAAGACTGACCTCTGAGTTTGTTTCGGCATTTCTTCTCAGGGTATTCCGATAGGAAATGCCGGCATAATCTAGTTTTTCACATATACTTTGACGTGTAAAAGTGCCGTTTTATGGCCTATTTGCAAAAATTATTCACTTCATTATTTCAATACATTTTTTGAATATGTCTCATGACAATTAATTGTACGTCATAAATAAAAAAAAAACACAAACTTTTTGTCTATGATTTCGACCACAGAATAACGACAATATATCAAGAATTGAACATTATACTTAGATGTCATAAACAGCTGATACTTTTGCAACAAACCATTGTACTACGTTAATGAGAATCCTTTAATTTGCACTTTGTGCTTACTGCATACGAAATACTTTTGAGCGTTTAGCATTCAGATCTCGTGTTTATGGTCATCCCGCCCACGAGCGGCTCGGTAAGGAGTTAAAGAATATGTTGAAATATTGGCACTGGATGACTTAATATGAAGAAGGTAATGACTTATTGAGATGTCTAGACCCTTAATTATTATTACTTGTAGAATAAAGTCTTTATTAAATTAATGTCAAGTTTTTAAAAAGGCTACAACTCTTTTTATATTTTACTGATAAGTCTTGATTTATTATGGTTAATGTAATGATGGTTTGGAAATTAGATAGTTCTTTAAAATAAGCTTATAAGCAAGCAGCAATATAATTGTAATAAGTAGTTAACTATTTAAGAAAATCAATAATTTGTTTTTATGTCATAATTATGTCGGCCATCGAGCAGATGGACTACCTTATGGTAAGCAATTGGACGGTCGCAACGTCAGAGCAGTTACGAGGGCGTTGCTAGCCATTTGTGAATTAGGGTTTCTGAGATTTAGAGATTGGAGAGGGTAAGGATATGGGCTTCAGTAACCTCACTCACACGCCGAAACACAATGCTGTGGTTGTTTCACGCCGGTTTTCTGTAAGGCCATGGTAAAATCCCGGTCTAGCCGACCCATTCGTGCCGAAGCATGACTCTCCTACACTTGGTAGTTCAGAAACAAGTCAAGAAAGACCTTTTCCACTATTGTGTATTTCAAAGACAAAAATTATACCATTAATATCAATATTACAACATCATCTTAACACACCCATCACGATCATTGTAGTATTGACAATGACTAGGTATATTTTTGTTTGTTTTCATTCTTATATTTTGGTAGCGCGAGTGTTCTACAAATATTCGTTTAAAGAGGGACTGGAGTGCGTCATATCTGAATCATTGTTTGATCTGTTTATTATCTTAATTCGTACATAAACTCAAGCCTTTGTCTCGTAGGTATAGAGTTTAGAGTACTAATAATTCTTGCATAGGTCCTAATTATAGAATAAGAATATAAAAAAAAAACCGAAGCACTGAAGTCCGGTGCATCTTAGGTATATAATTAAATAGTTTTTAATTAAATAACGAAATTAACAAGATACTTATTATTAGGTGAGAAGAGAACGAAATGGTTTCCACTTCCCTCTGTGAATTGAATGTAAGAGTGAATTTTACTTATCTCTGTTTTATTTTTATTTCTTAAAAGTAATAATTCAGAACAGCGTGTCAAGACGCACATAAAAGACAAATCTTGCTGTCATCTAGGGATATAACATTCAAATGCCACCTCCTTCATTCAGGTCACGTATTTGTATTTTTCACAAACTTCAACTTCTTATATTTTTATACCCGCATCAAAATAACCTGACACAGATACATTATAATAACATCAAACCTGTTTTGCACTATGGTAGCCAGAAACAGTGGAGCCCTAAATGACATAATCCATTAATATCTTCATGTATAAAGAATATACCCATTAGATCCTTCGAGATTATAGCCTTTTTAAAATAATTTGGAGTAAAGTAAAGGAGTGTACTATAAGAGTATGAACTCAAAACGGTAAAGTATGATCTCGCTCTCGCCCCACCCAGGGACGAGAAAAGCCATTTGATGATTTTCGCCCTCTCAAAAAAGGCAATAAAACAAAAGATATAAACTTTAACGTGTGACTCACACCTTATATAATAGTAGAATAATTCGATTCACCTCCGTTGGGCAAGACTATTGACACTTATTAAGCACATAAGCGTATGTTGACTTTTTACAAGAAGACAATTAATGTATTTTATTGTATACTTAATGTAGTGAGCTGTCGACGTTTAAATTATTCTTTCTTTATTGTTAATTTGTTGCGTGAATGGAATTATAATTGGTTGAAGTAAATTGAGTTTTGAGAGATAATTTTTGAGAATGTTTTTGAACGTTGCTACGTTATTAATGGCTTCTATATTACGAATGTTCAATAAGAGAATATTTCTCTCGTCCAATCCAGGGCAAACTAGATCATTGGATTGAACGCGGGATAGATGTTCTCAAGCTTTCCCCGTTCTAAAAAGGTAGATTCTTATCTCGTACTAAGTTTTCGTTACACAATTTTTGACAGACAAAGAATAGCTAGAACTTGTAGATGGAAGAAACTTAACCTAGAGTAAGTGTTAGAGACACTGATAAAAAGAATTTGTCAAAAGATTTCAACCATTCTTACATGCATACAGAGAAATCAAAAGTCTTGTGTAAAAGAATTAGAAAAAAATAAGTTTCCATACTTGTATATGTACTTAACAATCTCTTCAAGAATCAATACATTTACTGGTGGAATACCATTATTATTGTGGTTATCATAAAACACATACTTTCATAAACAATGTTTTTTTGTGGTAAATGAGCAGATCAGAAAATAATCTGCGCCGCCCTGGACACCTGCAACACCAGAGGGGTCACAGGCACTTTGCCGGCCTTTTATAAACGTTTCTTTAAGCTTTGAAGGTCGTATCGGTTCGGAAATACCGCCAGCGAATGATCGATGTAGTGATAAAGTATAAAGTTAGTTACCGCATCCAGTGGGTCCCAGAAGCAGTACGTTGCTCTTGTCTAGCCTCAAGTCGTGATGTTGGCGTTCCAGCACCTCCGCGCCGCCGCTGTTGTTGCCGTGACTTAAGTGGAGGAGATCTGGAACATTTCACAACATTATCATGTAGCTGGGAAATCATTAGACACTTTTTCACGAAGAAGAACGTCAAGATTAAGACAGTACAAGCTACAAAAAAAAAAACACATTGAAATGTATTTATAATGGGACAAGGCGGCAAACTATTACTCCTGTCGCCTGATGGTAAGCAATCGGCGTCGCCCATGGACACTTGCAACTCCAAGTGCGTTGCCTGCCTTTTGGCGTTGGTTTGGGATTTAGAGCTAGGTGATGAATTGGTGTGGGACTCGGGGAAGCTCAATACCCTACTACTTTAGCAGGACTCCTGTAGGCCGTGATATCACTCCGTCCAGGCTCATTTGTACCGAAGCATGACTCTTTCATACTTCAGTTTATGCTCGATAAATTAAACGAGTCATTTAGGTATTATTATTGACGCAAGGCATTTATTCTCCGAGAGACGATCTCTGGCCACGGTAGGCGCGGGTCTGCGGATGGCGAGTAGGGGTAGATCGTCGCCCGACTACAATCAGACCAGAGCGTACGGCGCGTTGCGTTCTGCGCGCCAACAGACCAGAACAGACGGGGGCCTATAGGGCTGATTTTCAGCCGGGGTTAAAGGGCAAGTGTCATAAGGCATGGGCCATTAGAGCAGGAGAAGTAACGGGGGGGGGGGGGTGTTTAGACAGTGAGAGTATGACATTCCCTCCCGTCCCACCCTGGGCTGAAGAAGAAAAGGAGTTCAAAACAGAAGAGCAAATGATAAACGCATAACTAGTTTGTTCAGTAAGATGTGTAAATACCTTCTGTAGCTTGATTAGCGAAAATACTAATCAAGATGGAACAGCAAATATACTTGGAATAAACATTTATTTTTTATATTTACAAAGTGAACTAAAGTCACCTACATAATAAGTTTAGGTCTTTTTTTATTTAGAAGGTGACCTCTACCTTCTTGTCTGTAAAACTGTTCAAATAAATGTTGCACGAACAAAGACATTTTTGCCATTTGGTATATTGCTTAGTCAAGTTATAAAGTATACGTAAGTTTATTGTCTCATTTTTCATCAGTTACAGTTATAGTAGGTACAACAATTCAGGCACGATCCTGATACGTCGCACGTCAGTCGCGTTTCAATTGTGCCTAAAAGAATCACTAGACCAATATAGGACCCAACATAGTACCGATGTTACAGGGTTACGGATGCAAGCGCCATAATGTCCCGGAACGGAGCAGATTTTAGTCAATAAGAGTCTTAAATACCCCTCTTACCTTACCTAGGGCTTGAAAATTCATTTGATGTTAATTACCCCACACGGAAACACAAAAAACCTGGTACAATCTTAAATTGCGAGCTTCTAAGTTTTTAAAATAGTGACTACTCCTTAAAGCTGCACGATTCTGGAGGCGAAAACCAAACAGTTTTACTTTACTTGTGACTTAGTTACATTTACCCACTATTATTTATCGGGTAATTTTTCCATTAAAGGGTAGGCCTGGTACCTATTTTGTTTGTTATACTTTAGTGCCACCTATGAAGGTAAAGGACACAAGTCGAGTCGACATGAAGTCTAGATTTAAGTGTTTCCACACACATTTAAATCTAGACTTCATGGTTCATAATCCAGGCGATGAAATTGCGGCACAATAATGCCTAGGTGCAATAATTGGTGCATCGGTCATTGATTCGTCACAGATGTTACCGTTTGTGCAATAGCCAATACAAAGTTGCCACAATGTAAAAATGTACCAAATCGACCATTATGGAAGCATATTTCAGTTAATTTAAATACCTAGTGATTAATACATGAGTGTAACAAATAATAAAATACAATTAAAAAAAAGTGCTAATTAACAAAAAAAAAACAGAGTAGAAGATAGACAAATACTATGAAAACCCAATCTTGGTTCTTAATTTAATTTTGTTAAAGTATTTATCGACAGTGACAGATAAAATTGTGACATTTGCAATTGTCAAAGTTATTTCAAATTTAAATAGATTTAACAAAGCGAAATCGGAAGCGTGAAAACACTAGCGAATAAGGCGTAGATTGCTCTAAGAAAAAAAACCTGTCATAAGGTCACCTGCCCACTGAAGCGTAATGACAACATCTTTAGAACGTTCGTCACACTTTCACGTAAACTATTGACAATTGTTTTCAGTGAAAAGCACCTGACGCGCGACGCGCTTTACGGTGATCTAGTCTAAATGAGGCATTATGTATCTACTTTCCAAGTTTTTTTCTTTTACAAATTGAAATCGTGAGACGTTAAAATTTTAAAATATATTTGCTGAATGCGGTTGAGTGATTGTTTTCAATAAATTATGTTTTGAAATGTGGGTTACAATACCTGTCTATCTAGCACAACAAAATAAATAACGTGTAATAATAACATATATAGGTAACAAAAATTGAGTTGTATTATGTACACGTTGTGTAAATTACTGAAGTAATTACATTCCTTTACGATTTATTATAATAACCGTATAATCGTACTTTTGTAAAAGTAGTTTAATTACGATATTATTTACTTTTGACATTACAATCGTACGAGTCAATGTAAAATAAAATATGATAGGTGGCGAGAAAGGCGTATTAATTAGCAATAAGACCTTATTCGAAAATATCAAGGATTTTGATAAGAATAATAATGGAACAGAAAGTAAATGTAAAAAAATATGAAAAATACCTAACAGTTATTTTTAAGAAAATTTATGAGACATGATAAAATCTTCACTGTGTCTAGTTTAGATCTGCGATCCGACTGTCAAAACAAATTCTGATCGTGCAGATCATCTACATTGGTAGATATTACGCTGAAGCTGACGTTCTTACTCAACTCCCACACAATCCTAAAAACATTGAGAATTAAAGATGGAGTTATGGTCTTTTTGGGTAAGGCTAGGAATCCTTCAGTATAAGAACAGTTTGTGGCTGATATGATGGTGAATGATGTGGTGGTCCTTACCTCTGTGCGTATGATGTAAGGGATGGTGGGCATCTGTCGGCGTGGCGCTGGTCACGTTGTTATAAATCCTCTTGTAGTGGTTGTACACTGCCACTGACAGCACCTTCTTAGCGTACTCTTGACCAACAACATGTTTGTTCAGGTATTCGAAGATTTTCTTCGGAGGTGGTGGAGGTTTTCTGTTTCAACAAAGAAATATGAGGCTTATTGTCATGTCTGAGTTATTTGTTACATCATAAGCTGTGAATAGAAAAAAAACAGAGATAGATTTTAGTTTTAAAGAAATGAAAGTAATGGTGACTTTTCACGACAGGAAAAGGTACGATTTATTGAGTCAAGCCTAGAAATTGTTATTGAGTTTATCGATTGACAAATTCTTAGAGTTAACTAATATAATCGTATTTGTGGTAACCAAAAAACCGATGCAATGAAATCTTTTCGAGGAAAACTCATAATTATTCAAACTCTACTGGGGTTTTATCAATAAACTGCAAACCAATAAATATGTATGAGTTCGCTTAATCCAAAGAAAACCAGAGAAGAATAAATATTGTCCGCCAATTCTGCAATTTTACGGGTTCAGCGACAAGGATACCGCAGCCCTACATTTTTAAAGAGTACGCGAGTGAAAGTTTAATCCTTTTAACATGACACACGAGCGCTCATACCTTCGTTCGTCTCAGTTTACGGCATTTTGTGTTACAATACTACTTGGAAATCGAGTGACAAGGAATGAACGATTTCCATAAAAATACAGATTCATTGTACAAAAAGAATTTACTTGCTTATATTTATGAGTCATCAGCGGTGTTAATTAACATATTCTATCAGCTTAATATTATGCCAAATTGTACGCATATAAATCGTTTCATAATGTTATTATAAGCATTCGCGAATGCTATTTTTGTAAGATGATTGACATGTTACGTATCCTTTAAAACTGAATCAACTTATTGCATTTTGTTTTGTTTTTTCTCAGATTATAATATCACTCTGCGATAGATACTCAAGATAAAAAAAGATATGAAAATGGGACCGTAAGGTTGTCTGGCAACGTAGGTACTGATAAACATTTCAACCGTGTTTACATACACAATTACGTATCAACATTTACATAATGATCTTATAATAGGAAAATTTATATCATAATTGAAAAATTAACATATTAAGTACAATCTGAATATCATAGACCTCTGAAACAAATCGTATAATATGACCAAAATGTGCGATGGTCCCAAAAGTGTACCCTGTGTAATCCCACTTTGGAATCATATTCGGATAATGCGATTCTTTCCGTGTACGGTTGCCAATTCGAATAATGTAGCAATTGAATACATAATTATAATTGCAAGTATTGAGGCAACAGTTTCTGCTTATTTATATTTTTAACTGTCATAAATTATTGATGCTGTAGCATATCTTAAGTCTAAAAACAAACTAAACAAACGTATGTTACGTCCTTATGAAACAAGCAATAAAAGCGTGATTACAATGTCGTCGGGTCGATGCCTTCAAACGTGGGGTTTTAAGTGAAAAATTGCTATTCATTCAATGTGACTTTGATTCTGCGGCTACAGTAAATACTGAGGGTGTAGTTTTTCTAGCATTTATAACCTAGCACGTTGTGGTTTCTTTAAATTAGACATTCGTTAGACCTAAAGATGAAATTTTAATAAATATAGGTAAGATACGGTGCACTGGGGTAGAATGGAACAAGTGTACATACATACATATTTTAACATACAATTTCCTGAAGATTTAAATTTTCCTTAAAAATTTAAGAGCAATGACCTTTTTAGTAAAATATGCGTATCGCTACTATTTGTTTCGGAAACCTTCGTTTTCGTGTCTGATAAGTGGGGACGTTCAATGAACTTATTTACTTAGAACTTAAGAACGACAATAGGTCTGTATCTAGAGTATTATTTATGCCGCCGTGTCCAAGAATTTTACACACAATTGATGTCTCAAGAAGAATTTGCTTTAATAAAAAAAAAAACACTGTTTTGGAAAAATACATAATATAAAAATGGATCAACAACGTTTGGGTTATCTTGACTCCCTTTCGTTAACCATGTAATCAAGTATGAATCAACGACATTGTCCAATATAGATAACCTGATTATTATAGTAGTAGCTACATTTCTGATAAGCCGTCATTAAGTTCTGAAACGTTATAATTATACTATATAAAAAATATTACTTAGTTGCTTTAATGCGGATATGATTGCTAGCATTTTCAGCCAAATTGACACAACTGTGTGACTTTTTAGTTCAACAACCCTAGCATAATATTATGTGTTCCGATGTAAAAGCAAGATAGATGAGTTTATTGCTTTGTCATTGTTGTCCGTACGCTGTATACATTATTCATATGTTGTTCACACCTTTGTGTGTGTTCTGGCAATTTTTATGATCGTTGTTTATGTGGGTGGCGTTTGTTACGGCTGATTGTCTAATTTTGATGAGAATCTAAATGTTTTAGTATGTGTGTTCGACAGACCATTAAAACTAAACATTGTTAGATTCTTGAAAGTGTTACACATTGTTTGACTGAGATTTCTTATAATTTTAAATTTGGACATAAATCAATATCAACTTGCTGAACTCTTACAGACTTAGACGGGAAACCAAGTGTCACTGCACTGACAAAATCAATCCGCCCTTTCGTTTTTTTAAATTAGGTAGAAAATAATATATTTTAGTCTTCGACTCAACGTGTGAAAGACTTGTATTTGTAACAAATTGCAAACTGTAAGCTACCGGTAGCTTCCATCATCCTATTTTGCATAAATTACGACAGGATACAGGAAATCGTGTTCTGTCCAAATTCGGACGTGTTAAGCTTACTTGTATCATTATGGCCGACACAATCTTATGACAGAGTGTACTCGCGAAATAGAGTTGTGAAATCTCTAAATCGATTAGCTCATATAATTAGGTAATGTTCGTTTAATTTTAACAGTACCTGTTTCTGTTTGAATTGTAAACTCTTTGCAATTTATAGATCGTACAAGACTTACACATATGTATAAGGTGTGTTAGCGACTGTGGTCAAAATTTATAGTATTGCTAAATTACTGCACGGTTGTAACGTGTCGCGGGATCCCGTACGGAAGAACTCTTTGTGTGATCCACAAATTGTATATGAAATTGTATGTTTGTAAACGCACCAACGACACAGGAGAAATTCCTACTGTAATAATAAACAGTGGGGGGCAACGTTTTATAAAATTCTAATAAAAAAAATTAAGCCGAAGTGAATGTTAATTTTTCTTCTATTTTAACATTATCAAAAACTTCATAAAATATTACGTGTCAACAGATATACCATCGCCATTAAATCGAGTTATAATTTATCATCTGGTAACACGTTATGTAACCGTTACGTTTGAAATCATAACATAACACATAAAACACAAACTTGTTTAGTTGGTTTTATTGTATAGTTTTTCTACACTACTATTTATTTTGATGTTGGCTATATGAGCTGTATTTTATCAAATATACAAACACTACTTTAATATAATGATAATTAATGTTGTAACAACATGTATCATTGTAAGACAGACTAGTTGCTAAAAAGACGATATTTTTGAAGTTTTACTTAACACTCTAATAGGTTTATTTACCTATCTCGCTTTTTTAATGTGATACCTGATGGTATAAGCAATCGGTGTCATCCACAACACCAGACGAGTTGCAAGAGCGTTGCCGACCTAAAGTTTAAAGTACACAAGTTGTTCAGCTTACCTGTAGAATCCAGACTTATTTTCCGCATTATCTTTAATGCTCTTCTTAGTGTCAACCTCACTGAGTACCACGAAGAAATGGTGGCACTTATCACACTTGACGAACCGTGTGGAGCTAACGAATGTCTCTACGTGGGTGCAGGGGTCGCCGCACTTTGGGCACGTGAGGACGCCATTGTTGTTTCCGGACCCAGACTTTTTGCCACCTGTTGTTGAACCTGAAGATACAGATATTGTAGGTAAGGATGAAGAAAATTGCTACATTAAAGCAGTCATTTCAGCGAAAGTTTGAAGTGTGTAAGCCGAAAGTACAGAATAAGTAATAGATGTACTGATTGTAGAGTAGCTTCGCAGCTTTCTCCAACAACCTCGGTACAGTAAATACAACTTTATTACGTACTCCTGACGCTTAAAATAATACAAATTTACCAAAACAAACATGTAAGTAATTCAACTAAATGCTATTGCATAAAACATTACCTCTACATGGCAATGAACTATAAGTCTACCGCCAATAAATTTAACGTGCAATCGCCTCGCCATCTAATGAGATAGCCAAGCAATTTAAGGTATTGCAAAGAACCCATTTCCTTCAATTAATACCTGAAAACGACCTTCAGGTAGATACATGATCGATACAAACTTTAATATTAGGCTTGCATTATAATCTGTGACCTTTTTCTTTGCCAATAAGCTCAAGGTTAGCTATAGACCGAAAAAAAACTCAGCCTATAGACTTCTAAGTGACAGGCTGTATGAAAGTAGAGGTGGTAAAAAGTATCGAATATCTGTTAATATTCGTTTTTATACGTGACTAGCTTTTGCCCGCGACTTTTTTCGGGTGGTCCTTTCTCGAGTTGTTACAAACTATGTCTGTACCAAATTTCAGGTTTCGTAGTTTAGGCGTGAAGAAAAGACAGACAGACAGAGTTACTTTCGCATTTATAATATTAGTTTGAATAGGACGGCTGACGATTATGCCAACCTTTTGGGGAGTTTGGGGTTGTGGTAAGCTCACTCACACGGCGTTGTTTTACGCTGGTTTTCTGTGAGGAAGTTTCTTACCTGCATTAGCAGTGTCTTTCGGTGGATGTGGGTGTGGCGGGCCAGGTGGTTGCTCGGTGGGGCTCTTGCACATCACCGAGCAAGTGCTGAACTCTCGAGGGCACGTCCGTCGTAGAGTGCGACATGGCTGAGCACCTGTTGGCAATGAAAAACGCATTATCTATTTGACTTTGACTGCTTTGGAGGTCACCAACGCGATTTAAGAAGGAGGTCTTATATTTCAATGCATTATAATGTTTATAATATGTTAATAGATTTAATTATAACTTAAAAATAACATCACACGAAGTTTATTTATACTGAGCATCTCCGAATCTTCATATCTTTATTTACTAGACACAAAAGTAGCTTTAAATACTCGACAGCAAAGATGAGAATTGCAAATTTTATGTAATTTACCTACAATTTTTTGTAAAATGAAATCTCAAAATTGCAAAATCTTTGTTACTTTGTAATTTTAACTTTCACGCAATCATAATGTTTTTACTGATTTTTTGTTTTATGTAAAATAATCGGCGATGATACTTTCCCCGTTTCTCCCCCTAACACAAAAGATTACGTGTGCTTATCAGTAAAGAAAAAATATTTTAATTAAATATTTTCTTAACGATCTACACGGCAAAGGAATGTGCAACTAATTGGAAACTCGAATTCCTGACTGATTTAAAGACTAGTCAGATAGGAAATGCCGTCTTTATCTAGTATTTCATACATAATTTTGAGGTGTAAAAGTGCCGTTTTATGGCCTATTTGTCAAAAAGTAAATGGCTTATTTCATTGATACCTAATTGAGATACTTTAGACGCTGCAAACCTTTATTATACGTAACAGAGTAGGCATAGCAATGTTTAATTTTATTAAAAACAGTACCAGAATCATAATAGAAAATTAGTTATGCCTAGAAAACATAAAATCGCTTACATTTCAAACAGCCAAGATCACACGCATGTAGGTACGGAACCGGTACCCACATCGGTCATTCGGCTTTTTGCATATTATTCAAGGTGATTATCCAAAGTTTTTGAATTTGAATTAAATAAATGCATTGACTTATGTATGTTTGTTTTATTGAAATTATTCGACCATTTTTCCTTCCTAGTGAACTTGACATTCAAACTGTACCTATGTCAATACAAAATATTTGATTTGATTCAATGTTAGGATAAGTACTAATAGTTGATGACCAGATTAAGTTTGTTCTATGACGCTTTTGGTCTAGTATTTGAAGTTGAAACTATGTATTTTAAACCTATCTATCTATATCCTAGTAATATTATTTGAAACTTTGTGAGAATGTATGGATATATGTTTGTTCTTTCTCTCAAAAACGGATGGACCGATTTAGTTGAAATTTGGCATGGAAACAGATAGGTGAAACCGTCGATTATTTTTATCTAACGTACGGACGAAGCCGCGATCGGAAGTAAGTATTTTTTATATTTACAATTTGCGTGACGATTTTTACTACATATAATGTCTTCGATGTTTAACTCAATAATCCGAATAGATCGTAATAAAATAGACATTAAAATGCTAATTATTTTATAGTTTACTAAAACAAACAAGTTTCAATATTCGAGACTAAAGCGAGATATGGATGAGTCAATTTTTAAAGGAGAGCGTTTCTTAAAAAACAGATTGGGTTCGAAATAATTTACCTAACTAAAGCTACAACTAAACATTCACAATTGCAGAACTGTGTGTCCACAACTTGGCGCCACTGTAACAGGATAACAGATATTGTGCAACCACTTTGCTCAAATTATACATACACTAATAATATTTTAAATGACCACAGATTACTTAAGCTTCGTTTCGCAATATCAACTTTTGCTTTCTTTAAGTGTATCAAATTGGCATAAACAAACAACGGACACGCGTAAATATTTGGCAATAACATACGTATTTGGTGGACATCATTATCAATTATAGTTTAGGAGTTGTGTTGCCAATTTAGCTGCACTTCCCTCGGTTCCAAAATAATGGAATGTTGGCTAAAGACGAAGTGTTCGTGAACAAAGGACAAAGGAAATCGTAATCACGATAGCTTTTCACTCTAATTATGCATAGTTTACCAGACGATGGATGGGCACGGTGTCTGAGAACTTGGATAACAATGGCCACCATTGTTCGTGGTCATGTCATTTTACTTTCCTGCTTAATAACACCAGCATTGTTGGCTAATACTGTGAAAACAGAACCTCCTTCATCCTTTCTAATGTGCACGATTTTTTCAAGGGTAAAAACTGTAACGTTTTTGGAAAACGACAGTACTAGGTATTTTTTTAAAGCCGTTTGGTAATTGTAGCGATACATGTTGCAAAATATAGTTATAAGGATTTGTTAATGTTGTTTCAAAATGTTTAAAACCTAATTAAAATTACATTTCCAAGAACAAAATAACTATGTAAACACTACACTGTTGTTGCTTGATGGAGACCTTGCCTTGAAATTATATTTGTTTATCATAGAAATGGAACTGAATTATACAATACAAACCAGTAGTTATTCAAATATAACAAATTAAGCCCATTTAATTGCTGCAAGGTTATATTTTGAAGTTCAAAATTTGATATGCTGATGCATCATTCATGATGATCGGTCATTTAAATATATTATGTAAGCATCTTACAGGTCATTCAAACAACTTTAGATGATTTCTGTGCAAAGGAAGAAATTTCCAGAAAGTATAAAGGTAACAAAGAAAACGCTATGGAAACAATTGCATATTATTATGTTGGTTTAGCACACTCCCTTCATAATTTCTTTTAATAATCACGCGATACGAAGACTTCTTGATTACAGCGATAAAAATGAAAATGGAAACTCATTTATCATTGTCAATTGCAATAATCTAGTTTATCACTGATTAATCAAACAATAACAGAAAAAGGAACAACTTTTCCACTCCATATTAAATAGAGAGCAAAACAGAAGAAGTCAATTGGAATGACATTTTGACATCTCCATAAAGCTGAGGTCATGTGATCATCATTAACATTAAACCACTTCATTAAATCTCACCACAACTCCATTAAGTCGACAGGCGATTTGTTTGGACAACTGCGACAAAAAGCTTGAAAATAACCTTCACCCAATTCGGAACAAGAACCAGTAGGCAGTAAGGAATCTTCGCTGATTTTACAATGGCGTATGTACAATTACCTGCATTTGTTGCTACTTAATATCCTTCAGTTTGATGTCAAGGTAAGAATATTGTGCAATTCCAAGTGGGTTAAAAACTTTTTCATAAGCCTTTTACAGACAAGGATTGAAGACTACATACCTATGGCCTTTACTGCCTACGGATTTGGTAATTCGGAGTTGCTTGTTGAAAAAATGGTTTTATGCTTTGTCATAAATAACAAATAGGAAAAATAATATGTCATACTAATATTATAAAAAAGGCATAATTATTTAATATCATATAAGAAAGATCCACTTTGATGACTTAACGTATCTTTAAAACGATGGACCAAATATTAACTTATTAAAAAATCATTAATTAAACCAACTCTTATAATCAATGTCAGTTGCGTTTCAAGTTTAAAATTCGTTCATTCAAGCTTATCGAAAACTTGCTGATTATTTTTTATCGGGTCTGCGATTCAAATAATACGTAGTTACGCATTTGTGAGTACCTATTTCAAAATAGAATATGTAAAAAAGCGAATTTTGAGTGAAGAGCATAGACAATAATAGTTTTTGCCCATGTGATAGATTAATAAGTCTATGGCGACAAGAAATATTTATACCACATGTCAAAGTCAAAGTAATGTCATTAATTTATTTCAATTAGACCACAGGTTCTTTTGAACGTCAAAAACAATATTAAAAAGCTTATCTTTATATGTGTGTCAGTCTGTCGGTCTGTCCCCTAGTGAAGCTATAAATTAGCTCGTTAAGTGTAGATTGTTATGGAGAAGAACGAGCAAGGAATTCAAACGTGACAATTCCAAATATAAAATAGGGATTTTGTCTTTAGTTCCAAATACGCCTACTTACCTAAGCATACAAAGTATGGTCATTCAGACTCAATACATACCAATATCGAATACAATAACCACTATATATTATTGTGAATAACAGTTACAATGTACCTACCTAGCAAAGGTGGTTACGCAATACGAATTTTAAACGTTGCATGCACTTGTTTATGTGGCGCCAAGAGAAATGGCGGGACCAAGCAACGCTATCCATTACCAAGATCGATTTAAATTAAGAATTATTTTTTTTCCAATCTTTGTTTTTAGCCATCCAACCAGTATTATGATTGAGACTACTCATTCATTTGCTGGCCAGTACAGTTGGAGTAAAACCTACTTCGTAAACTATGTTTTGAACGATAGGTTTTTAGATAACTATTCTGTACGTGTAACATTCAACAAGACAATTAATGACAAAGTTTTTTATTATTTAGGCTTTTCTCTTTGTTATTTAGTCTGGACTACATAATAGTACATTAAAGTAGTTTTCTCTTTCCATATCAAAACGAGAAATCATACAACGAGCAGGCATGTTGGTAGTACTTTCAGCTTATCGTACAAATCGAAAAAGTTAAACTTCGTAATTTAAATTTATGAATCGAAAAGTGAATTTCGAGCAAAAAGCATTAAAAAGGTTACACAACAAAGCATTTATTGTAAGTTATAAAAATAAAGGTGCGATTTTTGTGAGTCAAGTTTCAATGAATCTGGTTTAGTAAAATTTAAATAAAAATGTAACCTTACATACAAAGTATATATAAAAGAAAGTCGTGTTTGTTACACTAGGTATTTATAACTCAAGAACGGCAGAACCGATTTGGCTAATTGGAAAATTGGTAGGGAGGTAGCTAAGAACCGGGAGAAGGACAGGACAACACAAACAAAGACATTGGATAGGATAGAGTAGGTAGTGCAGGTTAGGTAGAGTAAGGTAGGTAGAGTAGAGTAGGTAGAGTAGGGTAGGTAGAGTAAGGTAGGTAGAGTAGGGTAGGTAGAGTAGGGTAGGTAGAGTAAGGTAGGTAGAGTAGGGTAGGTAGAGTAAGGTAGGTAGAGTAGGGTAGGTAGAGTAGGGTAGATAGAGAAGGGTAGATAGAGTACGGTAGGTAGAGTAGGGTAAGTAGTCAAATGACGGGAGCGACGCCGCGGGTA